GCAAAATCAGGCCTTTAGGGCCTGTGACCCTCAAAGGTCGGGCCTTTAGGCCCTGGTGTGTCCCTCCGGCCCTAAGTCGGGTCCGGTAGGACCCGTGTGACTCGAAGATGTAACATAGAAGGAACTAAGGTCAAGCAGTTTGTTTCAAATTTGGATCTTCTCATCTGGGTGGAAGAGGGGTTGTTATGGCGACAATTTACAACACACACACACACACACACACACACACACACACACACAGAGGATGGACTGTCTGTTGATGAAGGCACACACACACACACACACACACACACACACACACACACTCGCACATCCACACACACAGCAGGGTGGCCACAATTTTTTTGGACGGGAATGTTTGTTTGGAGTCATGATCACGGCAACTTCGCGAGGAGGCTCAGAGAGTTTTTGCTGTGGGTGTCACTCCCACGGGTTGCTCTTTTGGAGCACACGGAAGATGGTGTGCTTCCATTGTGTTTTAAGCAGTAGTGCTCTTGGTGTTAAGTGGAGATTCTGTGAATGTATGTGTTACATGCCCAGTTGGGTGATGTACATATAAAACCCGAGGATCCGCAATGTGATGAAAAGGACTGAATGGACAATGCAGTGTAAGTAGAATCTCAACAAGCAATGGACATTCTGATACATACAAACATGGTGCTTTATAGCGCAGGGAAGACTTAGATACAAGTCCTGACTTGACCGAAACTGACCTCTATCACATAGTGCAAGATAGCGTAGCAGAATGCTAGAATACCAATGACTAGCCCAATCGATGTTGCAACGCAGACCCAACATACATCATTCTCATCACAAAGTGTGAAGGGAGCCTGGCGCTATACACAGGAAGAAGGCACCAGGTCCAGATCATGCACAGACGAAGAGGAGGGAAACAGACGAAGAAGAGGAGGGGGGGAGATGGGAAAGTTGTCAACACCAAGTCTTCGTTACAAGTCCCAAATAATCCCTCGTCAAAATGTCTGAAGTCCAATGTCGAGTCTGGATCCAAATGTCACCAAGCTCTCTCTCTCTCTCATAGTCTGCTGATGCAGTGAAGTCAGGTAGCGAGAGGGTGAGATGGAGATGGTGGACTGAGAAGAGGAAGAAGAAGAACTCTCTCTCTCTCATAAGTTGGCGCTGTGCTGCAGGTACCTCGAAGACGAAGCTGGAGCAACGGCGCTGCAGGTAAGTCTCTCTGGCCTCCGCCCAATCTCTCTCTCTATAGTACTACTCTAGCTGCTATGGCGCCCAGCGCTGAAGACTACAGCCCACCCAATCTCTCTCCCTATGGTACTACTCTAGCTGCTATGGCGCCCAGCGCTGAAGACTACAGCTAACGCTACTAGCGCCCAGCGCTGAAGACTACTGCTAACGCTACTACTACTCCTGCAGTGCTCCTCCAGAGTTCTGCTGCCGAATCCTGAAGACTACCTCCTGCCTCCTGAACTGCACGTGAAGTGCCTGGGAAGTACCTAGGAACTACCTAGGAACTACCTCCTGCCTGTAGGGCGGGCCAGTCCTATATGCTGCTGGCCCGTCCAGGAGGCTGCTCTTTCCAATGCCGAAACGTCCCAGACCCTGGCGTTGAAGCTCAACCAGGGGTTGTCTTGAAAACAGGCCCGAAATGGCCTTTGCTAAAACCCTGGTTTGTTGTCTGAGTTTCAGGGCAGGTCGAACTGATGAGGGCTCGAAAATGGCCCTCAGTTTCAGGCTGAAAAGACTCAGGGCCGGAAAGGCCCTGATTTAGCCTGAAACGACACAGGGCCTGTAGGCCTTTGTTTTCAGGCTTTCAGGCTGAAACGACACAGGGCCTGTAGACCCTTGTTTTCAGGCTTTTGGCCTGAAAACGTCAAGCCTGAAAACGTCACGGGCCTGGAAATGGCCCGTGCAGCCTGTTGCAGGCGCAGCATGTAACAGTATGCTTGCAGTTTTGGCCACAGTATCTTGGCGAGGAGGCTCAGAGAGTGTGGGTGCCATTCCCATGGGCTGCTCTTTTGGAGCACATGGAAGAAACAGGGACTTCCAGGGTGTTTTAAGCAGTAGCCCTCCTGGTGTCGCGTGAAGATCTTGTGGTCTTCGGGATTATGGCACTCTTTACACTCGAGAGGCTAGCCAGCAGATGGGGACTGTTTAGCCATGGAGTGATAGAGATAGTGGTGAACAGAGTGTCTTGTTTGGGAGGAATAGGAGTGCCAGTGCTGCTGTGCTTGTGGGCTAACTTGAAGGGCTCTCCAAGTTTTTTCAGACTATTGCGGGATGTGGCCGGTGCTTTCTTGTTGGTGGAGCCTTCTGTGTAAAGTATGTTGCCTTCTGCCCTTTACCTTTGTTTTATAGATTGAAAAAACTACATACATTTGTGCAAGTGTGCCGCCTCGGCGGCGGATGGGTGTGTGGTTACTTCCTGCTCAACCACACAAACGTAGGGAACCTTGCACCTTCTATTATATTGCTCATCTATACTTTTTTCTGTTTACGGATGGTTTTTGATGGTGTGGATGGAATGAGAGAGAGTTTCGGGATGTTCACACACAAACAGACGCAAACACACACACACACACACACACACACACACACACACACACACACACACACACACACACACACACACACACACACACACACACTCACCGCCTGAACGAGTCCGTGAAAGTCCGATGAAACACTGGCGCAGTCATGCTTTTTTTGTAGAGTTGTGTGTATGCGCGTCCAAGCCGGTCATGAAACAGATGCAGTCAAGTGCGCATGTGAGGCGAGGGTATTGTAGGTGCTGCAAAGCTTAACCTTACCAACAGTACATCAAGTCAGAGCACAAGCAAAGCCAGCAAACGTTGCAAAAAACCTTGTTCGGGAATGATCATGCATGCACAACACTTGCATGGCACCAGCTGACAATTCATAACATCAGTAGCTTCCAGACAGCGGTAATTTAGATCACAGTGCTCCCTCCTTCCTACCATTCCTCTCCTCTCCTTCCCCCTGAACCTCCATTCCCACGTACATTGATCATTCATTACCTTAGGCTTCTTCCTGAGCTGTGCCCACTTGACGGCTCGTGTGCAGAGCTGCTCCACTCTGTCGTAGAGGGCATGGGACCTTCCCGTGTTGCTATCTCTTCCTGAGAAGACGATGGGTTCCAACCCTCCATCCAACTCCGGAAGAGCAACCTGCAGTGCAACTTGGACAGGATGGAGACCGAGTGTGCTCTCGACCCATTCTTCGGTAGTCTGGAAGACAAGTGGCAGAGCGACTAAGTACGGGACATCAAGTTGCATGAGCGCCTCAACAGCCTTCGGATGGTCCTGGCTGGCAGGCCCGCCAACCAGGGCAAAGCCAGTCAACGAGACGACAGAGTCCACAAGAGGTTTCCCGGTCAACGGGTTGTAGAAAAACCGTCCCACAGGGCCAGAAAAGTCAAGGCCGCCAGCAAAAATGGGCACCACCCTTGCACCACGTGCTTCCAGCTCCATGACCACGGCAGAATAGTGCCCGTCATCCCCCGTAACCAGATGGCTTCGCTGTAAGATGATGCCGACCACAGGAGCGTTTGGGTTCTTCAGCTCAGGATTGATGTCACGGCGAGCACCGTACCAGTTAAGATACTCCTTGACGTCATCGTACATGCAAGGGGCCAGAGGGTGCCATATGCCCGTGTCCAGGAACACAACTGGGTCCTCGAAGAGAAGTCTCTGCCCCTGAAACTCTGGAACATATGCACCAGAAATCATAACTAGAAAATTCTCCAGGTTCTCAGGGGAGCCTGCACAGAAGTGGGAACACAGTGCGTCTCAGTCATTGATCAATCAAATGCATCCTGTGCAGACTCTCGGAGTTCAACCTCCTCATGAGCTGGTGAAAACTTGACAAAAACAGTCTGTCACACACACACACATACACACACACACACACACACACACACACACACACACACACACACACACACA